TTTATCAACATTTCAGAGAATTATAATGATTATTATAAAATGGTACAAGATCATAATCATTTAGAATGTGGACTCTAAGGCAAGCTCAAAATATCACTTCCTGCCTGTTTATTATCATTACTGTGCAATGGCATTTTACCACATTTAACATTATGTGAAATATGTTCCAAATTTCATTTGTTTCACATAAGAAATATATATATATATTTATACATATATATATAAATATCATTTTATATCATATATATATATCATTTTATGAAAAGAAGAAATGTAAGAAAAACAACAAAAAAGCACTCCACCCAACAACAGCAGTGTATATATTCTTCTCAAGTATGCATGAAACATATCTTCAAGGTTGACCATACCCTGGGTTACAAAACAAATACTACAGATTTTAAAAAATTGAAATTTTACAAGTATATTCTATGACCAAAAATAATTAAAAATGTGCAGAAAAATAAGACAATCATCAATCACTTGGAAATTTAAAGCATATTTTCAGTAATCAGTATTTCAAAAGGAAGTTTAAGGGAAATTTTAAAATATTTTTAAATGAACAAAAATAAAAATTTTAAAACTGTTTATTTCAAGCAGTTCATATAATGAAATCATTCTAATCTTCTATCATTCAGTGCTGGTAAAAATAAAGAACAAAAGGCCTCAAATCAATAATCTAAGCCTTTACCTTAAGAGACTGAAAAAAAAAGGAACAAACTAAAGAATAAATTTCTTACTGTAACCATGGAGTTATCTTTATTTAATTGCTTTTCTATCAACTTCTATACTATATTCAGAAACCCTGTTATTAGGCGCATAAAACATTTTGTTGTGTCCTCTTGATGACTTGATCTCTCTATCATGAAATGAACTTCTATGGAAGTGGAGCCTTACATATTATAATTTTTGTCAATGAAGAAATTGGATCTTGTTTGTTTTTCCATTAAATGTCATCACACAGTTTCCTTTTTTTACTTAAAAGCAGGCAGAAGACTGAAATGGCTGTGTTCACTAGTGTTGTTTGGCAAATATTTCTGATGATGTTCCTTCTGGATCCTATAGGGTAGCATATCCCTTATGCTGTGTAAGCAGAAAGCATGATGTCATTTTAGAGGCAAACCACTTCATTACCAGTTCGAGACCCATCAGCCTTCTCATTTACCTCTGGCAGAATGACTGACAGGTCAAAATGTTGCTGTTTGCACTGACTACAGTGAGCAGAGATTTTCTTGCCAATCAGTGGTGAACATGCAGAAGAATTAAAAAAGAGTATTTGTTGTTTTGAGCCATTGGGATTTGGCATCGGTTATGAATACAATATAACATCCTCACTGATACACTTAATATAAATAGATACGAAAAAAACTCAGTAAAACAAAAGATAAAGCTGTATGTTAGATAACTTAACAAAATGACCTAAGGACTGAAATATGCAAGTACTTCCAACCAAACATTTTACTCAAATCTTGCAATACAAGAGTTTGATTTTTTAAAATGTGGGTTTTGGCATTGTATTTAATACTAAATTTCAGCCTTAGACATCGAGGAAAAATGTTTAGGTGATGGTAAGAACAATACAAAGGTCTTAACAACCTCAAATGCAAGTTTGCCTAAATGCCTGCAGTATAAATGTTGATATTGTATTATGAATGATAAAATATCTCTTTTAGAGAAAAAATATATATCACAAGTTTTGCACTTCTTTTATAAATCTGTAATTAAAATGAATTTAGGCCTATTCCTATTGTTAAAAGAACCACTTATTTTTGTGTGTGAAACCAATGACATTATAATGATAAATTAGCTATAAAAGGAATGACAGTTGAGTATGTTTAAAATTAGCAATGCTGTTAAACTAAAAATATTTTAAATTTTTCATTTTAATAAATGACAATAGAGAATGTCAGAAAATGTGTATGGATTGTTTTGGGAAAACAGAAGAGTATGAGAAATTTCCTATTGAAGTTTATTTTCATTATTGTCAATGGTTTAGAAGAATGTTTTCAGACTAATTTGTAGGTTTTTTTGTCAGCTTTTAAAATGCCTTCATGATTTGTGATTTCTCTCAAGTAACTTGAGAATGTAAACTATTTCTTTTGTCTCTCTGATTCATTTAAAATTTGAAGAAGTGGTGTTTTTTTAAATCCATTTAGATAAATTGTTGCTTAACAAAGAGATGTCCTCATCTCTGAGCCATTCCTAAACTCCTAAGTCAATTTTATGCAAATGTTTATTTTAAAATAATACAGCAATATTAAATACAATAATTACCAGCATTTTCATTCATATTTTTGTAAACTTAATGCAGCAAATGTTTTGATGTCTCTATTTCCTCGTTGTAATTTTGCTACGTATCTGTAACCATAAACATATAAATTGTTCTTCATTTTACTTATTTCTTTAACAGAGTTCCATATCGTTACATTGTCTTCATATTTAACAAACTTCCATTCTCAACCTATCTTGAGATTAAACCTGAAATAGACAGTTTGCAGGTTCTTAATAAAGCCCTGGATATGCTTCAATATTCCTAGCAATGCTGAGATGCAGCCATCTGGACCGCAACATCCTGATCCCAATGGCTGAGTTTGGGAGTGTTTTCAACATCCTTTAGAGCAGGTTAACGCTAAAATGATGAAATATAATTCAATCAGATTAAACACTGTCACAAGGCGGTTGGTTTTCCTTTGAGTAATCAGATCAGCACCCTCCATTTTTTTTTTTTGCCAGAACTATTACAGTTGCTGTTCTGCCTGTAGTCTCTGCTGTCTTCAATGTATTGTCTGCCTGCTGCCGGGGGGAACATGTAAACACAGTTCTGTCTTTCTCCTCATTGACAATTTGTGAGGAACTTCACACTGACTACAGGCTAATGTCCAAATTCCTTAGAATCATTTTCAGGATCCTGCATGATCTGTTCTCGACATACAGACTCATCTATAAAGACGCCCCTGATTCTTTCAGACAAAGTTAGTCATACTTCCTTCCAGCTCTCACTGCCTCTGGGCCATCTGCTATGTCACTTGTCTGATTTGATTCTAATAATTTTATGTATCTGTCCGTGGGTTTGTGAACCCTTAAGGCAAGAAACCCTCACCCCCGAGGCACACAACTCAGTCACTGACACCCTTGGAATCCGCCGGAACTCTACAACCTGGGCCCAGGCCACTGACTCCTTTGCAGGACTTGAGCTCTGCAGGCTGCTGCTATTGCTTTTCCCCAAGTTGGTGGTGCATAGAGGGGAGTGCTCCACCCAAGAAAGATGGTGTCTGCAGTGTGAGAGAGGCACTCAGCTCAGGTGCCCTGGTGGCTGCCATTCAGCTCTCTCCCTGGAGCCACACACCTCAGTCTCTCCTCACATGACTCTAGCCTGCTTCACTCTCCCTCCACCAGCACCCAGGGTGACTGCCTGCCAATGAGATTTGGGGTATTGGCCCTTTAAGAGGGTGCCCCAGTTTCTTGCAGACTCTAATCTCTCCCTGGCATACAGACACCCCTCTGATTTCACAGCCAGTCATTATGTGGGTACCTCTTTCTGGTTCTGGTGCTCTGGGCTAGGGAGCCCAGCATGGGGTTGAGATCTTGCTCCTCAGGGCAACTTATGTAGCTGAGACATCCCTCTGGATTCTCAGCTGCTGCCTGTGGGAGGGGGGCAGCCCTATTCCTATCTCTGCCCTTCCTTTCAGTCTCCATGTGCCGCCTCCTGTAAATTCTTGGTTATACGATTTTTGTTTCAGATAGTCTTTGGTTGGTTATTCAGGTTGGTGGTTCTATATTTTAGTTGTAATTCCAGTTTGGTCCTGGGAGGAGGTGAGTGTAACGTGCACCTACGCTGCCGCTCTCTTGGATCAACCACCTCTCTTTGTTTGGATCTAAATGTAATCTTATTATGTGGTTGTATAATAATTGGATATTAAATGTTCATTGATTTCATTTTAATACTGTGTTTTCCCCTGTACAGCCTTATATACTACCTAGCTGCTGAAACATACCACAACCAAAACTGATCAAGCATAATTATTAAAGAAGGTGAATTTCCAAAATTTTGTAGGAAATCCATGTAAAGGTTAACCACAATTTTAATGCATAAAATTTACCCTTTAACCTGGTTAAAAACTTAAAAATATATGCTAAGGAAAAGAAGCTAGATCCAAAAGACTACATAGTATATGAATCAATTTATATGAAATATACAGAATAGGTAAATCCATAGAGACAGAAAGCAGGTTAGTAGTTGCCAGGAACTGGTGGGAGGGGAGAATGGAGAGAGCAGTGGATACAGGGTTTCCTTTAGGAGTGATGAAAATGTTCTGGAATTAGTGATGATTGTTGCATAACATTGTGAATTTACTAACTGTCACTAATAGTGATTTTATGTTATGTGTATTTAACCACAATAAAATATGCTACTACTTAGTAAGTCAATAAATATTAGTTATCACTACTAAAAAAAACCCCAAAAATTTATCCTTATTAATATTTTTTTTAAGTTCACAAGAACACATTTTAATGTAATTCTTGCCTGGTATTTGAGGATACAAAAAAGGATACATAATTATTTTATTATGAATGATTGCGAGCCCTGGCTTGTGTGGCTCAGTTGGTTGGGCATAATCCTATATACTGAGGGGTTGCCAGTTTGATTACTGGTCAGGGCAATGCCCAAGTTGTGGGCTTGACCCCAGGTGGGGGTTGGGCAGGAGGCAACCACTTGATGTTTCACTCTCACACATCAGTTTTTTTCTCCATTCCTCTCTCTTCCTCTCTCTAAAAATCAATAAAATTCTTTAAAAAAAAGAATGAGTGAGAAAAGGAATTAATAATGGATTCCATGAATAAGCAGAGTAACTGTTAAGATGTACAAGCTCTGGCTGGAAAAGTAAGTATTAGACAAGGTCTAGTTTTCAAATCCTTCTGATAATGTAATATGTAAATAGCAATATGTAATATATTATAGTTTTGCATTTGACCTAGCTTTTTTGTCCCTTTATTATCTCCAGTTGTAAGCACAAGCTGTACCTGGAAATACTGCCAAACACCAGCATCATTATCCCATTTCATAATGAAGGTTGGACTTCACTCCTGCGTACCATACACAGTATAATTAACCGAACCCCGGAGAGTCTGATAGCAGAAATCATTCTAGTAGATGACTTCAGTGATAGAGGTAAGAGACAGTTTCAATATTTTACCTGATTATGTTATTCATCTCCTAGACAAACATGATAGACTTAAAATAGACAGAAGGTTATTGTAATGTTTCTTTTTGATTCTCTCTGAAAAGTGATTACGAAGTTGTGTCTATGTTGTGATTTCATAAAATGTTGGCCAAATGCAAAATAAACAGAATGAGAAATTATTGTTGTCATTTGGGGAAGTATAAAAAAATCGGCATGGCATTCCTGTTGTAAATTAGACAGGTGTTAGCAAATGTCTCAAATTTTACTTTCAGCTTCAGGACAAACACTGCAAAATATGTCATGGTGAGTACTTATGAATAGTGAAATATTTCAGTAAAATTATAAAATCTGTTTCTGTTTCTGAAGATTATCTACTCTATTATTTATAAGTATGATACATTCTCCATGTTATGCTTATGTTACTTCATAAATACTAAAAATTATAGTGAAACACAAATATTTTCTTTGGCAATTCTAGCTATTTTGTCATATCTGAAAAATAATAAAACAAATCTGGTTTAACAGTGTATTAGCAAATTTGATGTAAGTTTTAATAATTTAGCATTCTGATAAACAATTGGTTTTATAAGACAGGGGGATAAAATATAGAAACTTTCCTGAGATTAGGCTTTCACAACTATATTTGGTCTAAAGAAGGAAGTAGTTGATACTGCAGAGAAAACAAATTTTATCTTTATCTTTCTTGCTGGTGTGAGTGAAGAGGAGGAAACCTTTTCAAATGATATTCATCTATTTGAGTGTATAATTTTCTACCTTATTGCATGAAAGAGCTCTGCTTAAAATGCTGTACAACTGTAAGAAAGAGTGATAGTAAAATAGTTTGATTGCATATTATTCTTATGCCTCACAAGAGAATACATCTTGAAATCATATGGGTTAATTGAAGTTTTGAAATTTTATTTGGATCAAAAAACACCATTTTCTTTATAGTATCCAAAAATTATGTAAAAGTAAAACTGCTTAGTATGTTAGTTTTCAGGTTTCTTTAAGAGAGTTCTAGTCTTCAGTGATTCACTTCAAATACTGACTCAGGATCTGCCTAATATTAACATTGGTAGGACAAAAATAAGGTTGTCTAACATCATTCCATTAAAATACTAAACTACCAACTTGGTGATTTACGCTGATTTTAAAGCAGGTTTTGCCTTGCCTTGCTTTGAAAGATGTGCATTCAATACTACCTAAGAGCATAACCCAGTATCTAAACTTGAAATTTATTATTTAAAATTTTATTTATGTAACATTGATTTCTTTTTTATTCTAATTGAGGCTATTTATTTCAAAACAGTCATTCTTATCTCAGACTAAAAATAGGCATTTAATGTGTGAAAGCTAAAACTTTGCTTTTCTATAAAGGAATGGGCAAGGGAATAGATATCTCAGGCTGCACACACCAAACAACTGGTCTTTTTGGGTTGACTGGTACTCAGAGAAACCAGACGGTGTATCTGTGGAGAATTTTCTACATAATTAACTTTGTCTTGGTAAACTATTTATTACAGCAGAATTTTGACCTGGAGGTAACAGTAGGAAACACTTGGTAACAGGAAATTGTGGTTTGTACATTTTTTGCTGAATATTTCTCAGAGGTATTTTTTTATTGAAAGTCTTTAAAGAGATAGAAAATAGTGGCATCTACCTTTGTCTTGACTTCAAATAACTGTCATCTTCTGTACAGTAGTAATTCTGATGGACTATCCTGCAGGTGATGTTACCTGGGAAGTGAGTTCCAGAAGATTTCAATGTAATTACTGTTAGTAAAGTAACAGAAAAAAGGATTATTTGGGATACTTATGGTGATTCTGACTTCCTTATTGAACATTTAAAAGAATAATAATATTAATGCTTTGGTAAATCATAGATATTTTATTCCTATGAACTCTCAAGTTGAAAGTATTGCTTTATGATCATTAAAATTTTCAAAAGGTTAAATTATTTGCATATTGCATTTCATTATGTGAATGTATCAATATGTGTAAAAGTAAACTTTGAAAGAAATATTTTATGGAAGTACTTCTGTTATCTTTTAGAATACATTGTAATTCCAAAGTTGCATGGATTAGGAGAGACTCTTCATCCAAATTTATATCTCAGATTACAAAATCTCAACTGATAAAATACTAGGATTTGGGTAGACCTAAAAGATATCACCCTGCTTTCTGAATAATTTGAAATATAAAACATTAATAAACACAGGTTAGAATCTCATCACCAGTTATTATGACACTGGGTAAATTAACTAACTTCCCTAAGTCTCAGACTTTTCTTTTATCAACATAGGGATAAGTAACTTTAGTTATGTAAATAGCTCCTCATGGCAAGGTTTTGATGGAGAGCTATCTTGGATGGTTGAGTGAACTATGCACTACAGAGGAGAGTAGTTGCTCTCAATTACTGATTTCTACTCACCAAATACTTCCCTGCTACTATAATATGGACATTCTCCATACTGAGGAGATCCTCTCAATTTATCAGATCTAGTCCACAGTAATCTATCTATCTATCTATCTATCTACCCATTCATCCACCTATCTACCTATTATCTCCAGATGCAACAGAAGTCAGAGGGCACGTGAAGACAAATTTTGGTAATGTGCACCATGTTGGAAAAATCAGAACTGCATTAACATTTTAAAAACCTCTAAACTTATAAATAACTTGGTAATTTACTACATATTTTAAAGAAAAATTAAATTCTAGACTTTCATCAAAAGGAGAATAAATAGAACCCACCTAAGATTATATGAGTGGTCTTACATGAGTGTTGATTAAAATTCCTTACAAGTTTATATCCACTCTTAGGAGGAAACTGTCTTACAGCATCTCTTTTTGCAGGGCCTCTAAGACAGAGACGTTTTTCTACTCATTTTAATTTTAATATTACCTATAGCCATGAAGTTAAAAGTTATTCTACTTTATATTGTAAAGTATGTTTATACTTTTTTGTGACAAATCAGAAATCATAAGCTTCTAATATATAAATGTTACATTTTATATTTATTTTTAGAAATATATTCCAATTCCAAGTCCGCATTATTAGAAGTTCAGTATACATCCAATATCTTTGCACTATAGCTCTCCTGGTTATTCTGAAATATTCTTTGACCAAGGGCAATAAAATTTTGACAAGATTTATTCAGATATTGCTGCCTATTGTTTATGTCCTCCAGGTCAATAGAGTAGCTATACATAAAAAGAACCCCAAAAACCAAACCAAAACACACACACACACACACACACACACACAATGAATAAAAGGAAAGTAAACATATTAGCCATATTAATAACATGGTTAATACCACTTGAAATTGCTAGTTCCAAAAATGTTAGCAATATAGTGATTGGAAAATTCTGGAGTAGTTGGTTTCATAATAATAGAGAAGGAAAATACTACAATAATTTATAATTACTGAATAATTATGAACATTGTAGTGATTTTTAAAAATCTACTTGAATAGATTTGACTCAGTTATCAAAATGCTTTAAAAAAAGTGAGTATCCCATCTAGTGAGTATCCCATCTAGTAGTCTCAGTTTAGATATTCTTCCTTGAGTTAGTAAACCGAATATTGTTTTAGCCTCAGGACGTAAGACTACTGTCTATAACAACATGAAGGTGCATGCCTGCAGGTGAGTTTTCAACAATAGCACTGTGTTTTTGCTATCCGAAGCTTACCAAAGTGAGTGAATGTGATTATATTTTTTTTTAGTAAGCTCTCAGAAATACATTTAACAACTTAACTTGGGGCCTATAACAAGGCTTCGTGATGACTTTAAAGCAGGACTAATCCTGGGCTTATCTCCAAATTCCAGGCAATGTTAACAGCATCCACATGGAAAATGTTGAAGTGTGTGAAATAAGCTGGGGCTTAACCTCAGAGATAGGATATATTTGAACCTGACAATTCTCTCAACCCAGTTTGCTTAGATGAATGCAAGTTCAAATTGTGGATCGCGCAGGAGAGTTGCTGACACACTTTCCTAAATGCAAGCAGGGAAGTGCTGCTGCACACTGGATGCACGCACACACATTCACACTCGGTCAGTCACTATTGCCCCTGCTTGTTTCAAACGTCCTCAACGGGAAAGGTAGGGAGTTGAGTTTCATGAAGACCTGTTATGCTCCGCGTACTAGTCAGAGGGAAAATCATAGACTTGAAACTATCCTCCAGGCTAGCAAAGCCAGCCACTAAAAAAATCCAGTGTACTTTTCTGCAGCTGGCATGACTAGTTGCTGCCCAAAGTGTGGTCCCCAGGCCAGCAGCCTTACATTGAAGCTTAGAAGAAATGCAGAATCTCAGGCCCCATCCAGATAGATCAGAAGCTGCATTTTAGTAGGATCTCTATGTAATTTTTATGCCAATCAGAGTTTCAAAATAACTGTCATATGTTTCAAGTTGGGTTTTTATGATTCAGTGTGTAATATGGGTGCATAAACAGCATAGCTTCAGAAAACTGTGCGTATTGTACGTATAGATCTGTAAAGGAAAGTATGAGATAGAATTTCATGTATTTTTTTGCATTTATTATTTCTTTGACAGAATTCAGCATTTTCACAAATTTGTAGACATTTGCTCTGCTTTCGTATGAACTCATTTGATAGCATTTTATGTTCAATTTCACTTTACTGCCATTATTTCCTCCTTTGCCATTTTTCCTTCTTTGTTATACAAATGCCTTTTAACATTTTATAGATATATTTTGCTTTGGAATAATTCAATAATTTTTATGCCAGTGTTTATTAAAATTCATTTCATTTTCAAAACTGAGCTAAAGCTGTTAAAGTATGTATACATTTTGGGGGGACACTGTGTGTGTGTGTGTGTGTGTGTGTGTGAAAGCAGTTTCTTCAAAGATCCATATTACCATAAAAATCATAGTCTTCACATGGTTGAGTGTTTATACATTTTTTAAATAGTAGAAATCTTTTCAATCAATTTCCAAATGAACTGAGCCTTGAATTTCAG